TTGTATCTAACCCTTTAATACTTTTATTATTTAAAAAACTGCATATTATACACCACCTAATTTTATACTTCGTATTGATGACAAAAAATGCAAAACTACATTTTCAGTACCTGTCAAATAAAGCTACAAATAGTTTGAATGAAATTTTTGGGAAAATACATAATAGAAAAGAGTTCACCTCATTTTGGTTGCACGACCCTGTACCAGTCCTAAGTAATATTATATATAGGGTGTTCCTGGTTGACTTGGTTTCCATTAGAATTTTCTAGAGAATTGAAATATTGATTGGAGCTTTTTTGTACATCAATGTTTCACAATTAAGTTCCTTAGTTCGTTCCAAGTACGAGAAGTTGGCAGCAACTTTTATATTTTAAATGAATACCCAAGGACCAATGAATAAAGAATACAAGGACAAATAGCACCCGACACCAAACTGTTACCATTCTTCCAAACAGTGTCGTGGCATATATTTTTCTTAACATAGCCGGTTGAAGGGATATTTATATTTTTGATAAATGTTCTGACTACGCCTATGGTGTATACGGTGGTATCATACTGATTAGTTATGAAAAAAATGTATTAAAATGTTAATAAAAGGTACAAAACTAGTATCAAAGTATAGCACATATCAAGTACATGTAATATTCAATAAGAAAACTAAGAAAACGCTAAAAAGGTGGAGTGGATTGTTTATTTACCTATGAAACGTAACTCCTGGCTCTTTCTTATCGCTATGCGGCTTTTACATTTGAAAGCTGAACATCTAATCACCATTGTAATAAAGTTTATACAAAGTTCACTGCACACAAACTATTAAAAATTGCTAAAATTATCGCTGATGACCAGTTGATGACTCATTCGTTACAACACAAAAATGACGCCTAATATCACAAATTCTGCTGTAGTCATCAGAAGTTTTCCAATATGGCGACTTCCGTCCCTGTTTCTTCTGTAGGTGAAATATAGAAAGCCTCCTTCCTTTTTATTTTTTATTCATTGGTTCATACGCATCGGCGTCCGTTTGTCGTTCATCGTTCCCTCAAACCAATAATATTGAAATATGATCTGTCATTTTTGAAATAAACCAATAAAACTGGTTAAAAATAACAATAAACGACGCCATGACGGTTTTATATACCGGGTGTTGCATCGTCGAGCGGGACATAGGAAATCCCATGTAAATTTTAATGGGGTCAATTATTGGCTTCCCTAATTATTTTAGAGAATAATTCTATTTAGGTTTATTGAAGAGCACTAAAACCCACATGGCAAAAGAATAATTTTAGATATTTTTGATTAGCCCGTTTACGAGTTATCGCCGATTTCTTTTTAAATATTTCTCCTTTCTTATGGCCCTGTATTTACTTATGAGCACCAGTCAAGGTAAAAGATAACTGTCAAATGATGTTGTCATTTAATAGTACCTAAATTAATAAGTTATTGAATACTGTAATAATACTATAATTAACCTTGTAATTGATCACTTTATTTTACTTTAATTCATATTAATTTGTATTTATAAATACATCTTTAAGATTTCCGATGTAGGAATGAGTTTTCAATAATAATAAAGCACTAAATAGGTAAATTTCTGAAATGACAACTTCATTTGACAGTTATCTTTTACCTTGACTGGTGGTCATAAGTAAATACAGGGCCATAACAAAGGAGAAATATTTAAAAAGAAATCGGCGATACCTCGTAAACGAGCTAATCAAAAATATCAAAAGTTATTCTTTTGAATGTGGGTTTTAGTGCTCTTCAATAAACCTAAATAGAATTATTCTCTAAAATAATTAGGGAAGCCAATAATTGACCCTATTAAAATTTACATGGGATTTCCTATGTCCCGTCCGACGATGCAACACCCGGTATAAACCCATCCATAGTTAACTTAAAAAATATTAGAAACTTTTTTTAGTGAAATAAATGGATTGGTATGGACGTCATCTACCTTTTTTCTGTCATCGTCTGTCGAAAACAGAAAATTATATAAATAATAACCTCAGTTCGAGAATAATTATTTGTTTATTATATTATAACCCAAGCAGCATTTGGACGTCGGGACAACGTTGTATCACGCGACCAAACGTCGGGGCGCAACGTCGGCACAACCTCGTGCCAACCCTAGTCTGCACTAGTTTGGAGAATAATTTTTGGGTCGAAACGACGTTGGATACCGACGTTGGCTAGAAGCCTAATTTAGTACAAACTGCAACGTTGTTTAAAATCCTAATTCACAGAAATACAAAACTAATATGGCGTCTAAGTCGCGTTTTATCCTAAATTGGGATAATTATAGTAAAAATATTATTTTTATGATTTAGTTAGAGACATATGTCAGATGGCAGTAAAGGAAAACAAAACAAAAGTATTTAAATGTGGAGGATGTTTGAAGATAACTTCATCACTTTAACCGACTCTGTAACTCGTTACCCAAGGCAAAAAAGTTAAACGCAAACAACTTTATTGATAAATGTATTGTTTCTACTTTGAAAAATACTAATGGGCCTTAAAATTAAAGAAGTTTTAAAAATTTTCTTGAATTTTTTTTTTAGTAAAATGAGAATAATTTATTCGCAGTCAAAAAAATTGTTTCCGCGCGTGTTTTTTAGGGTCAAATAATTCAAGTTAATGTATTCAAAAAGCAGGAATTGCTATTATAGGAACGAAACATTTTCTTATTTAACAACATGGCGGCTTTCACTTTGTTGTTTTGGAGATTAAGATGGAGTAGTTCGAGTAGTCGCATACTGGACTAATAAAGTCGCAGTTCGGCCTTAACAGGTAGTATACTAGTCGCAAGATTGCCTAATAGTCATCCTAGAGTCTAGCTTGTGCCGCCCTCTATAATATAAATAAACGAGGGAGTGGATAAACTATCGGTAATATATGTCGATGTATATTTAAATTTAGTTTTATATGTACCTTTCTTATGTCCCATTTTAATTAAGTTTTTTTTTATAAAAACAGCAATGAACTGTCTGACTGAACAGAACAATGAAGTGAAAATTTAATATTTAAGGTTATGGTTCAATACAGTTGCAAAAAGGTAGTGACTCGACGTCCTACCAACGTAAGAATAAGGAAATCTAAACAACGTTGGAATTAGTAAAACAGACGACGTTTGCATAACGTTGGAATAGGTCCTGAAACTGACGTCGGAAAACTCTATATTGTTTAACGTTGTAACTACGTTGTCCGAATCACCTAAAGATCACTTAAGCAAAAAAGGTTACAAGACAACGTTTATTCGACGTCGCAGAAGCTTCCTACTTTGCTGTAGTACTAATCCAACGTCGGCACAACGTTATAAAAACGTTTAAATTTATATTAATACCCAAGGTAGGGAGCTAACTATTTTTTGTAACTAATCCAACGTTGTGTTTAGTAAACATGTGGTCGCAAGTCGTGAAAATGCTACTTGGGAAGTATTAATGTTCATAATATTTGACACTCGAATTAATATGATGACTCGAGATTCTTATATGTCTTAAAAGTTCTCTAGAAACTTCTAATACAAGGTCAGCGAGGATCACCCTGTATATTAATATAAAAATATAAATTACATTTTAGTATAGGTAAACAGAAAAAAAAATCATACATGGTCAAAACTATGCAAAACTTATTTGTATTGTCTTTATATTCGAAAATTTTTACAATGCAGTCATACCTAGAGCAACTTTGTCTACGTTCCGTATTACAAACCCACTAAAGTACCTTATTTCTAATGTCTAATGTACAATTTTCCTTTGCAGAAGACTGAAACAATTTATTTCCTTACATTTTGGTATTTACAAAAACATTACACAAACTGGCCTACAGCTGTTAATGTTAACAGCTGAAAATCACAATTTTAAACATTAGAAGAGAGTAACATACGAAAAATGAAGATCCTATAAGTCAATTTTAGACTTTTAATTTTAATATTTATGATGCTTTGAAAATTGGTACGGCATTTCTTTAAAATTATCTTGAAAAATGATTACTTTCATAACTTCAGGTATCAGAAAACCGTAATAAGTAATCACTTGTTTGGTTTCAAATATAAATCTGTTTTTGGGAAAGTCGATATAATAGAAAAAATATACTTTTTGAATAGTATCAGAAAGGTAAAAAGAAAAATACCTTTTTTTTGTTTGGTAAATATTATTTCTGCCAGCAGAAATTTAATGTGACGTAAAGGTTCTAATTTTACTATAAATAGTTTAATTTTTTCAGCTGGGTACTTATTGTAGAATCTAGAAAAAAATCATTGGAAATTGGAAGTCATACTGAATATTAGGGTGGCATTAGGGTGTCCCTTATTTACAGAGTTGATCGCGTCTTAAGGCGCCCTCTAAATTTTTAGTTTATTGTCTAAAAAACAATAACAGACCATTGTAAACCCTTACGGTAAGTCCGGTAGAGATGCCCCACTTTTCTTTTGGGGCTAATAATACATATTGGTAGTTAATTTTCAATGAAACTACTGATGCAATCCTAAACTATCTTTAATAATAATTCATAATAGAACTAAGATAGTAATATAATAAGTAAGTATATACTTACTATAATATATATTATAATAGTAAGAGAACAATAAAAAAATAGAAAATTGGCCATCTCTCCCTACGTTGCGGGAGAGATGGCCTTCCAACATGGGAGAAATGCCCCGCAAAAAAATACATATACATATTGGTTAAATATCTAAGGTTATTTTTTATTTTTTTAACCAATATCCAAAAGTTGAGGATGGCCCTATGCTTGCTTTTTCTGTGTTGTTGTTTGCCTCCCTACGTCTCAAAGTCCTTGCAGGGATTCGAAAAGCATGCATTATGCCCATTTGGTCGGTATTAATGACTTGCAAAGCAGCAACCAGTGAGCGCTTTCGGAACATTTTATTTTATATTCAGTAGGCATGATTAAAAAAGTTTCTTTTTAGTAAATTAATTAGTAGGGCATCTTTACCAGTATTTACAAGTATTGCTGATCTATTTTAATAAACAATGTTTATTAAAATAGATCAGCTGTACTTAAATGGTACGAATAACTTTTGAAGGAGTAGGTTTATCGAAAAATTGTAAGATAATTGCTGATTATCATGGCTGCGAGAGAACAAGATCAAGAGAAAAAAAATATTTGCAAAAAGTTTTTTAGCCCGTCTTTGGGGCAAGGTTTATTGTGAATATTAAGGGTTCGCAATGGTCTGTTAATTGTTTAAACAGTAAACTAAAAATATAGAGGGCGTTGTGGGAGAAATGATCAACTTTGTACATAACGGACACCCTATAGTGTGACATATATTTATAAACCATAATATTCTTTTAATGTTTAATTTACTATTAAGGATTGACTTAGGATCTTCAGTTTATAATTAATTTAAAAATATCAACACTCGCACTATTTTATGTAAAAAACATAGAGAACTAAAATAAATATAAAAAATCGTCCACTGATTCACACATATTCAAATATATTAAGTAACTTAGGAAGCTATCGCTGCGTGAGAGCTTGCCTGGGAGCTCTGCGCGAACAGGACCCCTTGATATGTGATGCCGTTGATCTCCATGCTTACCACTAACGAATTGTCGCCATTCCTGGAATCACCTGGAACAATAAGAGAATATGGCAGAAATTACTGTGAATAACCAGTTTATGTTAAGATTTAGTAACACAAAATAAATAAAGACAATGAAAGTCCGAAACTATTTTAGTTTAATACTGAACCATAGTCTACCACATTCAAACTAAGACATATATATGTTACAGTGATCACTAGGAAATGTTAATTACGCATTGGGCCAGTGAATGTGGTAGTTTAAATATATTAAGATAAGAAATATATTTAGACTTTTACTAGTAATTGTTAGCAGTCCCTAGTAACATTTATTAAAAGTTGTCAGTAAAAGTTTTTCTATTGTACCATAGGAAGGCCGTTAGAGGAAGTTGGAACTTCTTAAAACGTTTAAGAACATTGAATCACCTCCATGCTCCATATTTAAGCTGCTTTACTAGTCTTAAAATTACAAGAAAACGATAGCAATTGAGAAACACTAAAATTAAATTATTTACCATTATACTTAAGCTCAAAAACATGAAGCGTCTAGCCGCAACTAGGTAACTGAGTATGGATCGCCAAAAATTTGCACGAATGAGTTTTGATTGTTTTGGTTTCAACATTTTTTTCGTGATTTTTTTTATTTACTTAGTTTTCTTTTAATTCTAAAACCAATTTATTTTAAATATCCTGATTTTAAAATGTAATGTCCCAAGTCAAATTTCAGTTAGCTGCTCTAACTAGCGATGGGAACTATCGAATGAATTAAACTATCGAATGGTTACTGAATGAATGATTTCAACTATCGAATGGTTTTATTCGAATAAAATCATTCATTCATTTGTATACTAAAGCATATGTGACAACCTCGCCGTGCGACTAAATGGTTATCGTTGAGCCACGACTATCGAATGCTTTTGATAAATGAAATTTAGTATTCGTTTGATTTTTGTGTGCGTCAGTGGCATTATTAGTTCTTCCAAATTTGTATAACTTCGCCTTATAAATACTGTGCTATTTTTGCGTTTATTAAAATATTTAAAATACTAAAATAGTAGTTTTTTTAATTGACGATTGTGTGCGTGTGCAGGTGTCAAAATTTTTCCGAAAATTTGTGTGATTTTCCGTAGCCCGATCTTTCAATTATTTTATTTTATATGGTATATGGTCTATTTTTTAATGGGAACTTTTGAGAAGTAGCAATTTTTAAGAGAGATGAGATGAACTTAGAATTAATTTTAAAAATACATATTATTTGTATTTTAGATGTTTTAATAATATGAATTAGTTGAACTTAATAATCATATTTAAGTAATGTGGTTAAGTAAATGGTTATCGAACTCAAACTATGGGGTGAAAAAATTAAATTGAAAGTTTTACACGTGCCAATTTAAAAAAAAAATGTTAACGATGTTTGTATTTTGTTTATGCTAATTCTCTTACATGTAGTTTTTTGCGAAGAAATATTTCATTTATTTTTTAAAGTAAATGTAAATATTATTTTTAAATAGTAATATAAAGTACCTAATATAAATAATTTTGATTTCTAATTTTTTATTTATATTTTCCTTCCATTACACTGCATACTGCTTAGAAAATTAATAAATGTTTATATTTCATGATTTGAAAGTTTGTTGTTAATATAACGAATTAGTTCTGTAATTATTATTATTTAATAAATCAACGTTGCCAAAAAAGTTAAAGACTATATTATTTTTAAATAGGATCTAATATAAATAATTTTGACATCTAATTTGTTGTTTATATTTTGCTACTACGTAAAAAATGTTTATATTAAATTATTTTAAATTTTGTTGTTAATAGGTATAACAAATTATTACTGTTATTATTATTTTTATTAAATCAGTCTTTGCTTAAAAACATTAAAAATCATTTTCCTACATCCAAAATAACAAGTATTATTGCAGAATGTAACAACAGAATATTAATAAAAAAAATGCAAAATATATAGACATACTATCCCTAACTAACTAAAGCCAAACAATAACATTTTTTGCTAATATCAACTAATACCAATATATGGCAACAGCGCCCTTAATAATGTATTTTCTGTGTAAATACTAGCACCTCAATAAAAAAAATAATGTGTCCTTATCTTTATATGACTCCCCAAAAAATCAAAGATGCCGGCTTCTTTCATAGTATTGCCACCGACCGCTGTCGGGTTTCTCGGAAAGAAACCTACGTCGCCGGGCGACAACTAAAATCCAGTTAATATTTTATTATAATCGATCCTGACGAATAAATGAATTTCATAAATGAATGAATTTTATAAATGAATGGTTTTTGCTGCCGAATTACTAGAATACAATAATTCAAGGCAGATGACGCATCTATTCGATAATTTTTATTCGAATAGTTTTCAACGAATGTTTTCTTACTAGCTATCGAATTATTCGAATGAATTGCAACTATCGAATGTTTCGATAGTATTCATTCGATAGTTCCCACTACTAGCTCTAACCTTAATTCCGAATAGTAAGTTACGGGCAGCTGCTAAAAGATAATCAAAAGGCAAAGAGAATTTGAATGCTAGCATTCGCGAGTAAAAGTTTGTTTCAAAATTAGTTGTTCGACTTGCTGTGATTTTGAAAATATGGATAGGTATAGAAGAAAAACACGCTAATCGAGCCACAAGAGAAAATAATTGATTTTTTCAACAGATATCCCGGAGAGTGTTTTCCCTTCAGAAGTATAGTAATTGCGCGCGATCAGGTATTGTTACGGGGTTATTCAGCGTTTCGTCACGGACCGCAACTAAGCGCACTGTCGAAGCCCGAAACCTATAAATCACCCCCTGCTTCATTTGAATCAGTTAATTTCGCGCCGCTCTCGCTAGCTGCCAAAGTGACGCAACTCGGACTTTATTAAATCGGAACGTATCATTAATTTTAGGACATTGCATAGCGCGCCCGGTTGATTGATTGCGATTTTGTCCTCTTATGCCGCTCGGCGTCTCAGTATGTGTGAAGTTGCGTCGTTTTCTTTTTGCCATCGTATTTAGAAAGATCAATTAAACCGGTGAGAATAATTTATTATAGTCTCGTTGACTCGAATAGATCGAGACCGGTGAATATACGAGCGCGGTTTGGTTAATTTAACGCTAATTTCCTTTATTAGAAATTCGTTCGGATCGTTAATCAGTCGATATGTCGAAATTCGGGCAGTGACAGGTACCCGAGACCAAGAGACAGAAATCAGGATCAATTATCAAAGGAGATTTCAGACTTTTACAACTATAATGTTACTTTCCAACATACTTACTTCCTGTATACAGCCTGGTGTACAGGGTGAGTTTTCTACGATGTTCTCTATGGGTATCTCGGAAACTATTGGAGATAGAGAGTCGATTAAATAGGGAAAGAATTACAGTTTCGTGGGGTCATAAATATTAAGCGCGCCTTTCAGAATTTTGAAAAAGTTCATGGCTTACTAGATATTTCGAAAAAAAAACAAATTTTGCCTATTCTAAAAATTGTCCCTAATTCCATTATAATATATTTTAGACAAAAAGTTTTCAAAAAAAAATTGAAGATAATCACATCTCTGAAAGAAATGTTAAAAATTATTTATATCATTATTATGTAGACTCCTCGATCAATTGACCTATCCATTTTAGATTGTATGCGGTATATTTTTTGAACATTTTCTAAAATAACTTAAAATTGTATGTATAGTGATATTATTTTTATAAGTTTTAGTTTGTTTAATGTAAATTGTAAAGAACCGTTTGGTAAAATATTCTGTCGTTTTATAAGTTACTAGGGTGTACCCGCGACTTCGTTCGCGTCGAATTAATCATTGTAATGGTGATGATAAAGCAAAGCAAGAATTTCCATTAACATACAAACTGGATAAAATTTTCTCACATTTATGTCATCATGATAAAAAACAATATGGCGATATTATTATACAGGGTGAGTCTTAAATAAGTGCAAATATTTTCAGGGCTGGTAGATCTCGACAAAAGAAACATATTTCTCTTTACCATTTTTTAAATAAGGCCAAAATAACCGAGTTATTTAAGTTTGAAAATTTTAAAAAAATTGATTTTTTTTTTGAAAAATTTTGAAAGCCACCGGATTTTTTCTGTATTTGCATCCATTTTAGTGCCGTAACCATAGAGTAAAGGTGTAACTATGGTAATATCAGAGATTAAGAATTTATACCGCGGGAAAATTTGCGGTGAACAGGCAATTCTAAAAAGTTTTCGAAAAGTATACAGGGAAATTTAAAAGAAAATGCACGATTTTCAACATCTTTTTTTTGCGAAAAAAAACTCATAGACGTGTTCCTGGGGTCAAAATATACAACCCCTGAAAATATTTGCACTTAACTCCCATCTTATCGAACCTCTACACCCTGTATAACTTGGTAATATTTGAGAGGTAGTTTCAACTCGTTGGAATTTGACTTTCGAAAAATCCGTTTGCCAAAAATAATCTTTTTGCATCAAGCAGGTGGTTAATCAATTTACCCCACTTTTTGCAACACCCTGTATGATTTTTTAAAAAATTTCAAAATATGTAAAAAAAACAAAATAAACTATGCGTGTCCAAGCGTTTTCCCGAAAGACTAACCGTTTTTTAAATAACAAATATTGTAATATTTGAGGGGCGTTTTCACCCTCTTGGAATTTGAGATTTGAGAAACCCCTCCTTATCGAACCTCTACACCCCACAGTCAATCCGTTTGCCAAAAATCAGCTTTAAACGTCAAGCAGTTTAAGCAGAATCGTGATTACTCAATGGTCATATTTTATGAAACACCCTGTATAAATTTTTAAAAATCTTAAAATATGTAAAACAACAAAATAATATATACGTGTTTAAGAGTTTTTCCGAAAAACTCACCGGTTTTTAAATAAAAAATATTCTAATATTTGAGGGGTGGTTTCACCCCCTTAGAATTCGAGTTTCAAAAAATCCCTTCTTATCGAACCTCTACACCCCACAGTCAATCCGTTTGCCAAAAACTTTAAACGTCAAGCAGTTTAAGCAGAATCGTGATTACTCAATGGTCATATTTTATGAAACACCCTGTATAAATTTTAAAAATCTTAAAATATGTAAAACAACAAAATAAAATATACGTGTTTAAGAGTTTTCCGAAAAACTCACCGGTTTTAAATAAAAATATTCTAATATTTGAGGGGTGGTTTCACTTGCCTTAGAATTCGAGTTTCGAAAATCCCTTCTTATCGAACCTCTACACCCTAAAGTCAATCCATTTTCGAAAAATCAGCTTTTTACGTCAAGCGCTTTAAGCAGGATCGTGATTAATCTATGACCAGATTTTTCGAAACACCCTGTATACATTTTTAAAAAATCTTAAAATATGTAAAAAAACAAAATAAAATATACGTGTTTAAGCGTTTTTTCGGAAACTTGACCGTTTTTTAAATAAAAAATATTGTAATATTCCACCCCCCTTTTTACCCCCTTAGGGGATGAATTTTAAAAAATCCTTTCTTATCTTACGTATACATCATAAAAGGAACCCCTGTGCAAAATTTCAGCTTTCTAGGGTCAAGGGTTTGGTCTGGGCGTTGATGAGTCAGTATCAGTCAGGACAGTCAGATTTATATATATAGATAAATTATAATAATTAAATAAATAACAGAATTAGAATACCATACCAACTAAGTGAAATTAGACAAGAAAGATAAGAATTGGCTATAACTCTAATTTTTCGAAAAAAAAAACATTTTTATAGCTTATATCGCTAAAAAGTTTAAAAAATGGCGCTTTTTTATGAAGTTATGGCCAACTATGGTTTCCATTTAAAAAAAAAACATAAGTTTGTCTTATATGTCAAAAATGACAGGCTTTAGACAAAAACGGAGAACAAAATCACATTATGGATGTGATTATCTACAACTTTTATCTGATAACTATTTGTCTAAAATAGATTATAATAGAATTAGGAACCATTTTTAAAAGAGCTGAAATTTTTTTTTCTAAATATCTAGTAAGCCCTAAACTTTTTCAAAAATCTGAAAGGCATATATTTATGGCCCCACAAAACTGCAATTCTTTCCCCATATAACCGACTCTCTATCTCCAGTAGTTTGCGAGATACCCATAGAGAACATCGTAGAAAACTCACCCTGTATCGAAAAAAAAAACGGCGTCCAGGCCGTCCAGTTGGTTTGGAAATGACGATCGATGACATCCCCCATATAATTTTACATATAAAATGAGAGCGATGTTCATTTCACAGCCATCGCTGACTCCGTTTTTTTTCGATCTTACGGTATATCTGAATATTTAATTTATTGATAAACTCAGTTTTTTTTTAAACTTTAGTATTTGGCTGATTATACACATACAGAAACTTCTAATGCATGAGCCTCTAATCTCTGGAGCCCCCACGCTGTGTTGACACCCTGTATGTAAAGGAGCTAATCTATTTATATCGCAATCGATTTCAGCACCGACAGCATTTTGCCGGTGTGAAAGCGCTCTTACTGTTGAAAAAAAAATGTCAAGTAATGTTTTAGGAAAATTTACCCACAAAATTATTGGACAGGGTGTTTTACAAATAGGGTAAAAAACCCTTCGATTAACCCTGTATTATAAGGCAAACACTAAAGTTTACACAAAACTAGAGAGTTTACGAAGTAGTTTTCATATATTTATATACAGTTTGTTAAAAAATATTGAAAATGGGTCCAAAAAGAATTTTTTGCATCTGAGTCTTTAGATGATATACAGGGTCCGGCAATAGTGCGCCGGGCATCTGTAGCTCCTAGAATAAAACAACTTGTAAATTTCGTTTAAGTGCAAACCTAAAGTATGTTCTAAGATGTATTTCAGGAATATATATTAACTTCTATAGGGTGGCTTCTATAGGGCATTTTTTTCTAGTATTTTACCGTTGAGAGAGCCATATGAAATAATACTGCGTGTATCTGCGAAACCATTAAAAATTTTGATATACTTTAAATACAGAAAATGTTCATTTTTTAATTCTACATCTAATAAAAAATAATATACAGTGTGTTCTGTTTGAAAAAAACAAAGAAAAATTATTTCATATTTTAGAAAGTTTGGCGTAGAATTTTGAACATCCTGTATGATTTAAGATTACTATATTTATAGCACAAAGTAAGTATAAACTATCTAAAGTAAATACCTAATATAGTTTTGATTTCAAGACAGTTCTTGTATTTATAATAATTTTTTTAGTAAAGGTTGAAAAATATATATTTTTTATTTATTTATTAAAAGCTCTAAAACTATCGAAATATATTTACTCTATCTTAGGATTATGTAAAATTATCTGAAAGGAAGCCAAAAACGCAATAATATACAGGGTGTTCCATTTAAAAAAAATCATTCTGATCCACTCACACTTTTTTGAGCCACCCTATAGAAGTTAAAAGATTTTCCTGAAATACACCCTCATACATACTTTAGGTTTACACTTAAATAAAATCCCCAACTTTTTTATTCTAGGAGCTACGCCCGACGCACTATTGCCGGACCCTGTGTAATTCAATACGAATAAAACAGTACCATATACGTACCTCTACTGTTAATTTTTATATGAGTACTGGCCGGACGCATGGGCGACTCAGGCGGTGACCCCTTGACCTGCTCCTCTTCCTCCCTCGTCGTCCTTTTGGGTGGCGGCGAACTCTCCCTACACTCGGGCTCCCTCTTAATCAGAGGCTGTTGCTGCTGCGCGGCGGGCTCTGAGAGGTTCATCGGCTCCTTCTGCGGCTCGATCTGCGCGGGCTGGTTGTTGTTGTAGAGGCTGAAGAGGGTCATGCGCTGCTGCACCTCGAACGGAGTGAGCGGTGAGGTAGCGTTGGGCGGGGAGGCTTCGCCTTGGCAGGTGGGCGTGCCCGCTGACGACCTGAAAGAAATCGAACTGTGAACGAATATTAAATATTGTGGTAATGAGAGAAACTGGTCTTGGTTTTGCACAAAAAGCAAAACGAACGTTAGATCTGCAAGACCAAAACCGACCAATGCAACAATTGACCAAGATTTCCTTCCTTTTTTCCAAAATATCTTTCCTTGCATTTTACAAACATCGAAATTGTTATTTAATTACTCCTCCTTAGTGATGAGTGACACTTGTCTTGCGATCTTGGTATTGCAGATCATACACCAGTCATAGTTTTGGTCTTGCTATTTGTGCCAAAAGACCAACCAGTGCACAGACCAAAATCAAGCATGCTTCTTTGACGGGTTTGATTTTTTTTTCACGTTTATGTGTTATAAGAAATTACTTATTTGTTTAAAATTATTGCTTTTGCTTATTACAAATAGTATTTTCCTGACTATTGCATACAATTTTAAAGAAAGAAATGCTGATTCAATATAATGTAATAAAACATAAAAAAAATTGTCAGACATAATATATGCTCAAAGTTTTATTTGCATTGTATTACTAAAAATACCATTTATTTAAATATTTTGTAGGTAGAAAGTGCCTCTAATAAAATATATTAAAAAAATGAAAGACTTGCAAGAGTCTTGCAGCTAGACCAAGACCAAAACTGGACTGTGCAAGACCCAGACCAAGACTACGTTAACTGCAAGACCAAGAATGTATGTACCAAAAAAATAACTAAAGTCTGCCCAACCGGTCAGTGAATATTGCGATAGACGGCACCCAAAAAATGACAGAAATTACAATTTACGTCTGCATTAAAATGATAGACACAAATGTCACTGTAATGTCTCGTTGATGAGCCACATCTATATGAAAACTTAAAATTTTAGAAGAAATCACTGAAACTGCTGCACTTTGTATTTATGCCAAAAAAAGCAATTTGTAGATAAATTATTAACTCTTAACTACTAAAAAATTAAAGTCTCCATCTGTCTATTAAGTATATGAAGGACAACAATATGTTGTTATTTTGGTGAAAGTTTGAAACACTCTTTGAAATGGTATACCAAATTAAAGAACCGATTGATTCGCAAGGTGCATCGTTTCTCGATAGTTTTTTTACTCATCTCAATAGCTTTTTTTTGTTGGCAATATTCGCTTTAAAATAAGACTGAAATAAGTTATATCAATGTTGGCTTTATACGCATGTCATAGCTTTTGGGTCCTAATCAACACACTTATAGAATAGTGTTTATAGTTTTTGTAATGTCACTGAAAAGTTCTTTCTTTTATACAGGGTCCGGCAATAGTGCGTCGGGCATCTGTAGCTCCTAGAATAAAAAACTTTAGAATTTTGTTTAAGTGCATACCTAAAGTATGTACCAGGACGTTCTTCTTCTTAAGTCGCCGTCTCCGCGCGGAGGTTGGCGATCCAAATGGCTAACATAGTCCTGGATACTGCAGCTCTGAAGATATCTATTGATGAGCAACCAAACCATCTTCTGAGATCTTTCAACCATGAATTTTGACGTCTACCTATTGACCTTTTTCCCTGTATTTTGCCCTCAATTATCATGAGTAAATCTATTTGGATAGTTTCAGAGATATTAAAAAATGAATCAAAAATATATATTTTCCAGACCTTCTTAAAAAAAAATTATTAAAAATACAAGAACTGTTCTGAAATCAAAACTATATTAGGTATTTACTTTAGATGGTCTGTTCTTACTTTGCTATAAAATATGGTAATCGTAAATCATACAGGATGTTCAATATTCTACGCCAAACTTTCTAAAATATAAAATAATTTTTCTTCGTTTTTTTAAATGGAACTTATTATTATTTTTTTATTAGATTGAGAATTAAAAAAATGAACATTTTTTGTATTTAAAGTATTTCAAAATTTTTAATAGTTTTGCGGATACACGCCGTATTATTTCATATGGCGCTTTCAATGGTAAAATACGAGAAAAAAATCATTTATACTGTGCAAAAATCAAATTTACTGTGCAAAATGCCATATGAAATATAAAACCGGGAATATCTGCGAAACCGTTAAAAATTTTGAAATACTCTAAATACAAAAAATCTTCATTTGTTAATTCTCCATCTATCGAAAAAATAATATACAGGGTATTCCATTTAAAAAAACGGAGAAAAATAATTTTATATTTTAGAAAGTTTGGCGTAGAATTTTGAACATCCTGTATGATTTACGATTTCCATATTTATAGCAAAGTAAGTACTGACTATCTAAAGTAAATATCTAATATAGTTTTGATTTCAGGACAGTTCTTGTATTATTAATAATTTTTTTAAGAAAGACTTAAAAATATATAATTTTTATTTATTTATTAATATCTCTGAAATTATCAAAATATATTTACTCATGTCTTAGGATTATGTAAAGTCATCTGAAAGGAAGCAAAAAATGCAATAATATACAGGGTGTTCCATTTAAAAAAAATCATCCCGATCCACTCACACTTTTTTGAGCCACCCTATGGAAGTTAAAATATTTTCCTGAAATAGATCCTAGTACATACTTTAGGTTTGCACTTAATCAAAATTCCCAAGTATTTTATTCTAGGAGCTACAGATGCCCGACGCACTATTGCCGGACCCTGTATAGTAGCCATGTATAAATATATTATTAATGAATGATATAAAATAAAAAATAGATATAAAACAAAACAACATATACTTCAATATAAAACTAGAGAGGACGCAATCTGAGCTGCAAACTCACAGAAAACTGAGGTAAGTCTTTTTTGATTTAATCATTTTAATTATTCAAGTCATTTGATTTTAGAAATGACTTACACTTTGTTTCGCCAAAATAACAACATTGCGTTTTCACTCGTAAAATATAGACACATAAGAAATTTAATTTTTAATTTAAAAAGAAGCTAAATCAAAAAATTTAGCTACAGATTGCTTAAAAATCAACAAAATCGGCCCACTAGAACAAAATATAGTAAACTCTACAAAACATGAAAATCTTAATCAATCAAAAACAAATTAACTGTATGTTCCTTTATATTTAATTGCCGCCTTCTTCACAAGAGAGAAATACATAAAATACATACCTGATTTCTTTATTCAACAGCTTCATGTATTCCATCATTCTAACTTCAAACTCGCTGGGTGCCAAGTTTGGCAAATTGGGAAGAGGACCGCCGTTCAACGGTTGACTGATTGGTTGCGGATGACTCGGATGGTGCACTCCATTGTGCAAACCCATTCCTCCAGACATTGCTGACGTCATCCTGGCGAGATGCTGTTGCTGAGCGGCCGATACTAAGGTCAAGGGGCTGATTTGGTGAGGTGGATTAGGTGATCTGCAAGATAAAAGAAGTTATGGTGTTGTGTACATAAATTTTGTGAGTTTTTGAAAGTTTTATGGGTACATAAACAGAGTATCCGAGAAAACAGTTTTAGAATAAGTAAGATAATTATGAGGTTGTGACAAATCTCGTTTTTTTATCTGAACTAATAAAAAAGTTATAGGAGTAAGTCACTTTTGAGAAACACCCGGTATAAAAAAAATTGTAAACGGAAGTTGAAATTACTCCTGACAAATTCGATTTAAGAGTAAAATCAAGGGTAAAATGTATTTGTGTGCTGCATTTAATTACTGAACTAGAAAAAAAAACTCATTCATCATTAAAAATAATATTAAACTCCAAATAAAAACGAATACGGACATTGGATCACGAAATTTTAATCATGTTACTATTACAGCCTATAATTGGAATATGGTTTTAAAATGTATCTACATCTAATGACACTAATATCAATATCCGATAATTTTGTACCAAAAATTAAACACACAATATAAATAAACTATAACACATACAATATATAGAAGCAAACTACCTTAGCCTTTTCATAGTGTTATTGGCACGGGTTACTGGCGAATCTCTACGAACAACTAGTACCATCAGTATTAAAATATATTAAATAGAACATTGTAGAATTTGGTGTAAAAAAAACGGTGTAAAAAATGAAATAAACACGACAATGTCAAAAAAGGCATGCTATGATGTACAGGGTGTTCCATATTTGTATGATTTACAGAATTTCTTGTTTATGAGTAGAGATGCAAAGATGCTGTTTTTTACATTATACGTAGTGCTTTTTTAATGAAACAAAGATGCTACACATATTTTTGTCCTAGCCCTCTTAGTTTCTAAAATACAGGGCTAATTTTGAAAATTTTGAATTTTTAGACACCCTTAACTTATCGAAAAGGTGACGAGTTGTCTAGAGTGTTTCACGTGGAATCCAGTTGCGTAACTAATTTTTTCGCTAGGTGCTGTCCATTATCAAAATATGAGTCAAACTTTTGTTTTTTTTTAAAGGGAACACACTATATGATTTTTTTATGTTATTTATCTTATTATAAGCTTTTGATTAAATATATTATACCCTATACTTATTTCCATAAATAAGATAAACAATATCATTATTCAACTTTATAACATAATATATCAACCTATAAGCAAAGAGTAGATAAGACAAGAGACGACAGTTCGCGCGGTACCTTTCATGTTTGAGTGGTGGGGAGAGTGACCTCGTCTCGCTTGTCCCTTTAAATTTTAATTATTTTTCGCGGGAAATTTGAAATAGATTATTATTAAAACTTGCCTGTATAGCTTATAAATAGTTACTGTATGGGTAAAAGAAATAAATAGAAACGAAAAAAAAAATGAGTTAGAGAAATATTATATAAAATAATTTATAATTAGAAACATATTTGTCGGGGAATAAAGAAATAAAAGCAATATTTTGTATATCATTGGTAAACAAGAGAAAGTGACCAAGTCGATTTGTCAGAAATGTTTTATTTACGTGTATTTTTTTACATACCCTATGTGTTTTGTCAAGAAGTTGCAAATTTTATTTAATAAATCCTCGCGATTACAAGTTTCTAACCATGTCTTCGATCTATGGATTACATTTAGTTTAATAACATAATTACATAGTATATTTCTATAAAAATACTTTTCAGGATCCTTTGGAAAAGAGTGAAATATTATTATTTTTCGAAGAATAAAACCTATTTTTGCAGTCTTTATAAGCACACACATTGCCACACCATCTCGTATTTTCCTGCTACTCGTGTACTGTTCAGTATTCATATTTAACAATAATTACAAATTAGTACGCAACAAAAAATGATACTAAAATTAAACCTCAGAACGATAATATGTCGAAAAACTCTCAAAACACACTTTAAAAAGGCATAAATGCAAGAAAACAACTAATCAGATTGGTTTATAAGCCTGATCCTAAAATCGTAAGTTAGAATAAATAAAATACGCCGTTGTCAGATTTTATCTGTTGATCTTTGAAATCGATCAACTTAGTCATTCTGTTTCTTTGATATTCATTCATTACGAAAAAGAACCTAAACCAACCTAAACTAGTAATTTACATTTCCGTATTAACATACTTTACTTTTTACTTATATCCTTCTTATATTATTAATTTATTTTCAGAAAATCTTGTTTATTTTTCAAAGTAATATACTTGGCAACTTATCGTTATTATTTTTGTTAATTAGTGTTAAATAAATAGTGTTTAAATAAATTGTGACTTTCTATCCACACGGAACCGACGAAAAAACGTAACAATAAGATAAAAAATATCATTATTTAACTTTATAACATAAATCAACCTATAAGTTTAAAAAAGTTTTTTTATTTAATTTAATTCAACCAGATAATTTTTTTTTTATTTTCCATCGTGTTATCTTAATAAACTGCACTAAAAATGAATTTGCAGGTTTTGAAGAACAGGCTTTCAGTCAGAGTTATTGATATTTTTGATTCACCTGTGCAATAATTCTACACAGGAAAACCCGTGGAATAGCCAATATCTAAAATCTAACGTCAAATATATCTCGTCTTTGTAAATCTACTCAAAAACTAAACATAAAAGAATGTCCCATTTTAGTGTATTTTACCTGTATATTGCTTTTATTTTATTTGCCTTGTTATGAGCTTTCTAAAAATGTAACATATTCTATACTTATTTTTAAATAAGGTAAAAAATGTATTAGTTAACGTTTCACTCTCGGAACATAGCTATAAAAATATAATAACCCAAGATCCCAATGATAAGGCTCTAAGGTGATAAGAGTAGCCAAGCCAAGATTAACTGGAGATTATACATTTTCGAAAATGCTGATTGATGACCCGTCTGGTCTTCTTTAGGTGCGGTCAGTCTATGCGGATATTATCTGACTATCTTACCTGGACATTGGCTCGTACTGTCCATAACTACTCCTTCTTCCTTCTCTTCTGTTACCGTCAATAGCCGCTTGCAACTCTGCCGGCGTGCTCAGATTTCTTTTTTCGCATTCGTATGGATATAAGTATTTCATGTATCTGAAAAAAAAAAGATATTTGTTAATTCGCTAATCTCGTTATTTTGTTACAAAACGTTTTTAAATTATAGTAACAACAATATAATATTATTATCTTATACCAGGTGCGTCTCAAAAGTGGCTCACCCCCTATAACTTTTTTATATTTCCAGATAAAAAAACGAGATTTGGTACGTTAGTATATGACATAAATTAGGATTGATTGACTTATTCAATTGTTTTTGGTCACTTCCTGTTTCACCGGAAATGACTACAACTTTTGATTTTTAAATGGCAGCCTCAGTATTTTTTTACTTTATTCGCTGGAAAATGACATTCTGAATAGAATGACATATCATATGTCAACTTTTGACATTCACGATTAATAAAAAATCGTATTTTAAAATTCAATCTAGAGTGCCATGGCTATGTTAAAAATACAAATTCTTAATCAAGGAGCCTTGGAAAAATAGATTTGCTCGTCTAAAGTTTTTAGTGTCTTATCCTGGCCAGTTAGAAAATGCTTAAATCGTATTTTTAATCATATCTCAATTTTTTCAAATAGAATGAGGTTGGCAAATTAACATACTTGGAAAAATCATTTTTTGCGAATAATTTGATACCACACATTTGGTATTTCGAGTCAAACTTTCGTTACAAACCGCAAGCTATAACTTCAAATAAACCATATGCGAAAATGTCAAAAGTTGACATATGATACGTCATTTTATTCAGAGTGTTATTTTCTATCGAATAAAGTAAAAAAATACCGGGGGTGCCATTTAAAAATCAAAAGTTGTAGTCATTTCCGGTGAAACAGAAAGTGACCGAAAACTATTGAATACGTTAATCAATCCTAATTTATGTCAAATACTAATATACCAAATATCGTTGTATTAACTGAAAAAACAAAAAAGTTATAGAGGTGAGCCACTTTTGATACCACCAATATTGTGATTTTTGGCGAATGCGCCGGATTACCTAACTGTATCATCGTTTTAGCTTTTTGATGCTTTTTCTTTATTATAGTTAATTAGTTAATATTAACATAAATTCGATATTTACACATAATGAATAACATTATTCTTATTTATATTATATTCATATAATATATTCTTATTCTATATTTACTTATTTATTCCAATAATAAACATAATGAATAAGATTAATTTTAGGAGTGACTCGGTGCCTAGAATGATATAATGTATATGTCACAGACGCACAAAATAATCTGTCTTTTTGCAAAAAGACTAGGTATATAATAAAACGCCGACTTTTTAAACAAAAGAAAGATTTTTTTTACAAAAAGCGTATCTATTTTCAGTCACTTTGCAAAAAGCCAGAATTAGGCATATTAAACCATGACGATTTTTTTCTGTAGGTACATTTCTCCAAAAAGAGTGCCTGTTTTCAGTCGTTTTACAAAATGTCAAATTGTGGCCAGGCAGACTATAGTAATAAGTAATAATATACATATAGTAATGATAACAATAAAATTAATGTCAAAAGTTGATATATGATATGTCATTCTATTCACAGTGTCATTTTCTATCGAATAAAGTAAAAAAATACCGAGGGTGCCAATTAAACATCAAAAATTGTAGTCAATTCCGGTAAAACGGGAAGTGATCGAAAACAATTCAATACGTCAGTCAATCCTAATTTCCTCAAAGGTTATAGGGGTGAGCAATTTTGAGACGCCCCGGTATACTATTATTTCTCATCGCGTTTTATTTTCGGTGCTAGTTATAACAGCCAATAAATATTGAAATTTCTTAAATTTCTTGCTAACCATAGGTGCAAAACCAGAACAGACAACTATTTCAATCAATGTTGACCGCTCGTTATATGAACAGATCTTCAGAAAATTCCACACCTTATAATCCCAAGAAACATTTTTTTTATAAGTGTGTTAGGAAACTTCCCAACACCATATTATATAACCTAAACGCATCTAGAATGGTTGTCGTGAGTTATTGGAAACCATAATATAACACTTATATGCCCTAAACGGTACCTTTTATAACTGTTCCTGTGGTAATCCTCAACACTCAAGGTGTGCAACCAAAATCCTGAAAACTTTCTCAAGACCTTTATATATCCTATCGAGTTACCGCTATAAAACTGAAAAAGGGTATATAATAGTTATATAGTGGTGTTGAGAAAGTTCGCAGAGATTACCGCCATAGAAATATCGCGCATGCGTGTTTTTTAAAAATAAACTTGTTTCTTTCTGACTAACTACTTTAATATTTGCCTCTTTTTTAACATAAAAAGCAGATATGATCTTATTGCTCCAAGTTGTCCTACGCAGATAATCCAGACCAGACACAAGAGACAAAATGATGCCATCCCTGTCATAGCCTACAAAAGCGTTTGCGTTATGCAAATTACTTTATAGAAATTACTGGCTTAATAAAATCGATTGTGCCTAGCCAGAGTACTAAATACATATGCTAATTTTTTTAAATTTACTGTGTGAAAATCAATTTTACCTCCAAAAAACACATGCGCCTCCAAAAGCAGAATTATTTAATAGATTTTTTTATAAACATAAAAAATATGGTAAAATTTTTGTAATGAAAGTCAAATTTATTAATATAAATAATAGAACATACGACTTTTTAATACATAGAAATAACTGGCAACTGGCCAAAATATAGTTTTGTACCAGTTTTCAACGTTATCTTAGATATTCTCATTGTAGCCAAAAATGAAGACATCAATAATAATGACGTCCATTGTATTTAAAGTGCTATATATTACTTTAGGGTCTATAACATACTCATCAACCATTATATAAATTTGGTTACTTAAGGTTGCGTAAATGAGTTTGGGTTATTTAAAACACCAATTTTAATGTTTTATACAACTAAAGGTGATACGAATCACCATTATAAATGCCGGGGTGTTTATGGCTACTTTTAGTCACCCAGAAAACCTTTATGTAACCCGTGGTGTCGACTGTAGCGACTCCCTGCGAACGAAGTTTGACATTACAGCAATTTGACAGAAAATGTGCAGAAAACAAAACATAACCTCGTAAAATTGAAATGATACTGTTTTGGTTCAATTTGATCTATATTTAAAGTGGTAGGAGTTTGCAAAACAGTCCTAGGGTCCTTTGGTACTTTGGTAGAACAGTTATGAATGAATTGACTATAGAAAAAAGCTCTTTTAGTGCAGAATGTGTAATGTTAAAGCGCAAAGCTCATTCTCTTATGTTAGAGAATGCCTTTACCAGGCATCTTCCTGTTCCTGATCGTTTTGGCAACTTTCTGTTGGAAATATCTCAGGTTGATCCTGATCTCTGCTTGTGGATGGTAAAGTTGCATGTTGGCTTTCAATATTGGTAGATATAGTTTGAATGAGGTTTGGATTATTCCAATTTTTTTCAAAATTCTGAAGAACCTTTCTTTTGAACCTAGATGTATTTTTGTACAGATTATTTTTTTATTATTCATTATAATACCGAATTGCTTTGCTTGCTAATATATTATTTGTTTTGATTATATTAAAAATTTAAGGTTATGTCATTAGGTTTGATAGTCGGTAGCTACAGGTTATATAAAGCATGCAAACATTTGAAAGGTGCAAAAAAACGATTTGAGAGAATAATTATATAACTTGTAGTATTATTGGTTACATAATGGTTCTTAATAACACCTTTATAATTATATAGTGTATATCTTGCGTACCTTTGTAACACCTAATACCAGAAGTTATATAAAATAAATGTGAACACCTTTATAAAACCTTATTATGAAACCTTTAGTAACAAGAACCTCTAGTTTTATAAGGAAATTTATAAACAACATTTCAAGGTTACTATTAGTGATAAGTAACCAACGCTACACTTATATAAATCAAAACACTGTAAGATACCAATGAGACATTTATTAAACCTTTATATAACTAACCTTGAGAATATATAACCTAAAGGAACTTAAAAGTTACTTGGGATAAGACAGTAACCGGCCCAGAAAGATAATAACAAAAAGATTACACCGCAGCGCGACGATTATTCGAGGCAACAGAAGAAATAATACGCTCAGACCCGTTTTATGGATGAGGGATAGCCGATGCCGCCGAGACATAAAATCGAAGCGGGCCCGGAAAAAATAACAAAACAACGCCCTCTCCGTAAAGCGGGCGGTGGTTTTTACCACGGCCAATCGGACAACTGAAAAGATGATTTACGGCCGTGGCGTTAATAAAAATTCAAATCATACGCTATAAAACGGATACGTCGGGGCGGCCAATAAAATCAGCGGGCCGGGCCCGTCCGTCTCGCGTTCACAAAAAGAGAGCGGCCGGTTGTGTGCGCGGCTCGTTCTTAAATCCAGTTCAATTATTATATGCTGCGCGGACGAGCTTTCCGCTTAATTATATTTAATAAAATTGATTTATCGTCGATTTTATGTCGATGCCCGGGTACGGGTTTCAATCTTCTTATGATATAATGAGAACGGGGGGCTTATTCTGACTTATAGTGAGAGAGAAACGAGAATAAGGGGCCATTCTGCCATCCATAAATTACGTCATTTCATCATTTTTTGACACTCCTCGCCCTCGCTTGTCAGTAGAATTTTGAAAACATCCCTAACCAACAAAAAATGCGAAACGTTTTAAGAGGTATATCCAGGGGCGCAACTAGACATATACTTTTAGGGGGGCTTAAGTCTTTTGGGGGGGCTTAGGTCACTATAAGATAAGATTCATGTGAGGTTAAAACCAATTTTATACGACAAGCACTGGACATCTGGGGGGGCTAAGCCCCCTGCCCCCCCCCCCTAGTTGCGCCTCTGGGTATATCCCTTGACGTTATATGACGGAAAAAATTGGTCAAGTGCGAGTCGGACTCGCGCACTCGCGCACGAAGGGTTCCGTACCATTCATTATCTACAGGGTTGTTCACCACATACGACACGGAGTATTGTAGCTAAATGATTAGATTTTTACAATTTAAAACATAAGAATATATATATTTTACAGTTTATTAAATATAAATTTTGACTACAA